CACTTGGGGCTGCATAAAAAGGGTGGATTAAAAAAAAAAATATACATCCAAAAAAATGATTGGATTTTTATACTCTTCTCCACTCCGTGGTACAGGGTATTATGTCTTTGTGCATATGTTTGTAACAGGCAAAAGGAATCGAGATAGACCCATGGTTCCTTTTGAGAATATGCATAGAATCACTTTCTGAGTTGATTTATGCATGTCCGTCCGTCCGTCCGTCTGTAGATGTTAAATTGTAAACAAAGTACAGATCGCATGATCCGATTTGGATGAAATTTGGCACAAGTCACTTATTTGGCCCAAGGACGAACCCTATTGAAATTGAAGAAAAACGGTTCAGACGTAGATATAGCTCCATATTTATATATATATAAATTCGTCCGATTTAAGGTGAATGGGGCACCAAAGTCCCTATATATCTTTCGATTTACACGAAATATGGCATAGACTACTGAATTAGGTCCAGAATGATGTGTGTTAAGTTTAGTGAAAATCGATTCAGATTTAGATATAGCTCCCATAAATATATTCGTCCGATTTAAGGTAAATGGGGCACCAAAGTCCCTATATATATTTCGATTTACACGAAAGTTGGCATAGACTACTGAATTAGGTCTAGAATGATGTGTGCTAAGTTTCGTGCAAATCGGTTCAGATTTAGATATAGCTCCCATTTATAGTTTTGTCCGATTTTATATAAATGGTGCACCAAAGGCCCCATACACCTTTCGATATACACGAAATTTGGCATAGCGTACTCAATTAAGTCTAGAATGATGTGAGCTGAGTTTTGTGCAAATCGATTCACATTTAGATATAGCTCCCATATATATATTCCTCCGATTTTATGTAAAGTGTGCACCAAAGACTCTATATATCATTCGATTTGCACGAAATTTGGCATAGCATATGGGATTAAGTGTAGAGTGACGTGTGTTAAGTTTCGAGAAAATCGGTTCAGATTTAGATATAGCTCCCATATATATATATATATATATATATTCGTCCGATTTAAGGTGAATGGGGCACCAAAGTCCTTATGTATCTTTCGATTTGCACGAAATTTGGCATAGGGCACTGAATTAAGTCCAGAATGATGTGTGTTAAGTTTCGAGAAAATCAATTCAGATTTAGATATAGCTTCCATATATAGTTTTGTCCGACTTTATGTAAATGGTGCACCAAAGTCCCTATATATTTTTAGATTTGCGCGAAATTGTGCATAGTGTATTCAATTGAGTCTAGAATGACATGTGCTAAGTTTCGAGAAAATCGGGTCAGATTTATATATAGCCTCCATATATATATATATATATATATTCGTCCGAGTTAAGAAAAATAACGCACCAAAGTCCCTATATATCTTTTGATTTGCACGACATATGGCATAGGGCACTGAATTAGGTCCAGAATGATATGTGTTAAGTTTCGAGAAAATCGGTTCAGGTGTAAAAAATCGATTTTTAAAAAATAATGGCCTTGTGTGGATGCTTAAAAAGTACTTTTAAAAATCCACGCCTTTGTACGTCCCTGAAAATTTATAGCAGTATAGTCGGGCGGTCTTACGGTCCTCTTCATCCCAAAATTTTTATCTTATCATCACCGAAAATTATAGGCGTTGTCCTTGGCCCTAAGTGTAACCTTATAGAAAATTTTGAAGCGATCAGGGCTATATTTTTGCCCTCTAGTGTAGTAATGGGTTACTAAATAATATCTGAATACGTAAGCACCTGTAAGTATTTACGTGTAACTCCCACATCCGAGTACATACGACCATATAATTGGTATCAATTTAAAGATCAACCACTCCTCTTGTTTATACAATCAACTTCTCGGGTCTATGTCCTTCAGTGGTAAATATATACGCTATAGAATACACATTTTGTATGTAAATATTGACCGATCTTTACCAAAACAGGCATTTTTATTCTTTGGTCCGACTCGTCATGTCTTGGCCATAATTGTGGCCTCTGGAGCTACCAGAAAAACGGATAAAAATTAAATATTTGGTCCATTTCATCCCCTAATTTTAACCGATCTTTACCTAAAACAATAGAGGTCTTCATTGGCCACAACTCATCCTACATGTGAAATTTCGTGAATATTGGTCCATAACTGTGGCCTGTATCGTGTTTACAAATTATAATGGACAGACGGACGGACACACATGTCTATATCGACTCAGCTAATCGAGATAATACGATCGGTAAACTTAAAGGTGGGTCTAGGACCAATATTCCACAGCGTTACAAACTCTTGGGCCTGCACAAAGCTGTAATACCCTGACAAAATCCAACCCTTGTTGTGGATGCTTGAAAAAATATATTTTTTTTTAAATCCTCGCCTTGTTGTGGATGCCTGAAAAAATATTTTTTAAAAAAATCCACGCCTTGTTGTGGATGCTTGTAAAAATATTTTTTTTAAAAAATTCACGCCTTGTTGTGGATGCTTGAAAAAATATTTTTTTTAAATCCACGCCTTGTTGTGGATGCTTGATTTTTTTTTCAAATCCACGTCTTGTTGTGGATGCTTGAAAAAATATTTTTTTGAAAAATCCACGCCTTGTTGTGGATGCTTGAAAAAATATTATTTTAAAAAATCCAGGCCTTGTTGTGGATACTTGAAAAAATATTTTTTTTTAAAAAATCCACGCCTTGTTGTGGATGCTTGAAAAAATATTTTTTTAAAAAATCCACGCCTTGTTGTGAATTTTTGAAAAAATATTTTTTAAAAAATCCACGCCTTGTTGTGGATGCTTGAAAAAATATTTTTTTAAAAAATCCACGCCTTGTTGTGAATTTTTGAAAAAATATTTTTTAAAAAATCCACGCCTTGTTGTGGATGCTTGAAAAAATATTTTTTTAAAAAATTCACACCTATGGGTCCATTAAAAAGGTTTTTAGAAGACCTTCTGGTCTTCTTCTCAGAAGTCCTTTTGATCTTCTTCTCAGAAGACCCTTTGGTCTTTTTTTTAGAAGACCTTCTTGAATGTGCAACCATTTCCTTATCATGTTATTTTTTATTTGTTGTTATTTGTCTTGTTTTTGTTGCTATTTGTTTGCCTTTTACACCAAAAAATTGTCACGACATACCTCGACTCTGGTTGCCACAGAGAATACAACAAAATAAAACTGAAAAAAACATGAACACTCCGAAGCGACCAAATGTTTGATTGTGGAAGTTGTGTGTTGTTATTTGTTTTCCTCTCGCCTTGTTGTTGTTTTTGTTGTTACATTTATCTATTGTTGATAACGATTTTTTTTGTCTAGTTGTTGCTGCTGTTGTTATTGTTGTTGTTACTTTTTCTTCTATTTACACAAAGACCACTCCCCGAATATTGCAAAAATATCAATAAAAAACCAGCAACAGACACACACTCACATGCCCACACACACAATGAGAAATAACTTTACATGGCAAAGGAAAGGTAAATAATACCATACGGTCGGTCGTTCGCTACTATTGCCCGAAGAGCGCAGCGGAGAGAGCTGTGGAGACGAGTGGTGACGAGTGGAGTGTCTTGTCAAGTGGGGTGCCTTGCAATGAAATGAAACAACCAACCAATCCAAATAGAAATAAAGCAAATATCAGAAACGGGCATGAAAGGCTCTCTCAGGCAGTCTGTTGGTGATTCTCTCTCATTGATGGTTGTTTTTCTGTTCACCGTTATTGTCCCTGTAATGTTGTAAAGCTCGTTGTGTGTGTGTGTGCAAAGTGAGAGAGAGAGAGTATTTCCCCTCTTTGGCTATGGCTTAACGGGCACTTGTTGTGCGTGGCTTAATCTGCACAACTTGTGGAAACGGATATGAAAGTTGAACTCACACACATAGGCAGACACAATCATGCTCACACACAGGGAGAACAGTCGACAGACGACTGTTGTACTCAGAAATCTGTAACAACCACCATTTTCCAATTGGAAATGAAAAAAAAACAAAACCAACAAGAATGTTATTGTGCCGTTAAGGGTTGGCCTCTGAGGTTTGATGTATGTGATCAAAGAATGTGTGTGTGTGAGTATGTATATGTGTGCGACTGAATGAACCGCAGCCGCAGACTGCAACTGAAATCTGTAGAAAAAAGAGGGGTTGTGTATCACCACCCCCCAAATAGGACCAAAGTAGACACCACTTTACGCTGACTGGCTTTGCCATCATATCTAACCATACACACACACACTCTCACACATATACAGCCAACACTTGCTGGGCCAACCCAAACCAACCCACCAAATCAGTTATCACACAGAAATAAAAAAGATAGAACGAATGAACAAATGATTCCGACATGCGCTCACCGCTCTGCTGCTGCTTCTACTTCGACGAGAGTTCCATTTTTCTGTTCCACGGCAGCAGAACACTTGCTCTCCACCTTTTTTCCAATTCAGTTGAAATCGCAACGTGATAACTGTAATACGCGCTCCGTACGAACCAAAAGTCCGTCGTTACCCGCAAGAAAACTTTTAACGGAAATTTCGTTTTTGGTTTAAAATTTCCTTACGTTACGTTCCAATACGCACACGGACGGAGTTACACACCGACTCAGAATACCTGAAGTCCCCACAAAAAAGAGAAAAAAAATCAAAGTCGGATTCTTTTTTGTTAAGGCGGAATATAAATAAAGAATCCGATTCGAATCGGAGTAAAACAAAAAATTAAAAAAAATATAGAGTGGAATTTCTGTGAAAGAATTTAAAAATTGTTTCCAAACCTGGATTATGGAATAAATTAAAAAAAAAAATACCCCAAAAAATCACTCTCTAAAAAATTCAAAAATTAGAAAACAAAAAAATATTTATTTACACAAAAATTTAAATTTTTGCATGTTCAAACATGTTTGTGTTGTGCTAATAATAATATTCTAAATTAATAACTGTGAGAATTTTTGAAAAATAAAAAAAATCTATAAAATAAAAAAAGGTGTTGCCACCTACCAACGACAACACCGTAAGTAAAGCCCCCGAGCTGTCACTACCGTCGGATGTCGTTTCCACAAGCATGGAACTTTTGAAATTAATGATGTTTAAAAGTGACTTTCTGTCCAGCAGCAGTGCCAGCAGTGATAAATGTGATGATCGCATACCGCCAATCAATTTAAGTCAATTACCCGAATTTCTATTGTGTAAGTGATCGAAAAAAAATACAAAAATCAAAATTAACTTCTTCAAAATTTGAACGGATTGGAGGTTAAAATGTTGAATGGACATTCTATGAGCAAATAAAGGACTATATATTCGAGAAATATTAGTGGACAATTAAATGTTGTAACCATCGTTGAAATTTACAATTTTTGAAAAATGTCAGTCTAAATAAATTTGTACCAAAATACGCCCCTTTCTTCTGGGACAAAATTCTTAAAAAATCCTTAGGCCCAAAATTCTTTAAAAATCCTAAAAATGGTTTCGAATTTTTGGAGGATAAAAATCGATTCCAAAACTTAAAAAAAAACCCCAACGGAAAATAACTTATATGGAATTAATGAAAAATGTAGCTCCAACGGCAGATAAAAATCTTGTATCACGAGTTTTGATCCAACAAGGTTCTCAAGTAACCTGTACGTCCTCAGCAGATTTCTAATAAAAGTTTTGGATTTGTAGACCATAAAATCGAGATCGATCGAAAATCGATTTCGAGATGAAAAAATCCTTCTCCATAAAGTCGGGAGGATATACAGGGTTGTCCATATTCGACGGACCCATGTTTTTTTTTTAAAAAAAATTAAAGAAAAAAATAAAAATTTGGCGGTTGCCAACGGTAATCATTTAATTTGTTCCAAGTAGATTTGTTTACATCAATTTTTGAATATGATATCTCTCTAATGGTCGCCTCTGGCGTTGATGACGTATTGTGCCCTTTTTGCTGCATTTTCCATCGTTTTTGCCAACATTTCGGCCGGAATAGAGGCTATTTCTTAACGAATGTTGTCTTTGAGCTCTTCTACGGTCCTTGGCTTGTTAACGTAAACCTTTGACTTCAAATATCCCCACAAGAAGTAGTCAGGCGGCGTCAAATCGGACGAACGCGGCGGCCAGTCCAAATCACCAATTTTGGACATCAAACGGTTTGGAAACAAATTCTTCAGAAAATCGATTGTTATGCGACTTGTGTGCGGTGGAGCGCCGTCTTGTTGCGATTGATGGTAACAGCATGGCCATTTTCATTTTGGAAGAAAAACGGCCCAATGACCGTTTTCGCATTAACGCCGCACCAAACTGTGACCTGTTCGTCATGAAGAGGCACTTCTTGAATCTCCTGAGGATTTTCAGTGGCGTAAAAACGGCAATTTTGCTTATTTACGGTCCCACATTCAATGTGAAATGGGCTTCATCGGACATGATAATTTTGTTCCAAAATTGCTCGTCATCTTCGGCCATTTCGATGACTCTTTGGGCTCATTCCAATCGACGAAGCTTGTCCGCAGGCAACATTCTTTGCGTCAATTGAATTTTGTACGGGAACAAATGCAAATCAATGCGAATAATCCGCTGTAATGTGGAACGAGCCATGCCCAACTGCTGAGAACGGCGATTTTGGAATGTTCTTGAGGGCCTCTCAACACTGGCTTTGGTCGACTTTTGTATGACCTCTTCGGATTAAAAAAAAATCCCCAAAATAAATTAAAAAAAGAAGAAAGAAAATCACGAAAATCCGATTGGATCCTACATCACTTGGAGAATATTTTTGAGGTGCTATTAGAATTCGGAAAGCTTTATCTAAATCCTAACGGATTTACTTAAAAAATCGCAAACCTCTTTCTAATCGATTTTTTTAATTTCGATCTTATCTAAGCAATTTTATGTCGATTGGTCTATCGTAACATCATTGGCACATCATTTTCATGAGGAGCAAATTTGAACCGATTTCCAAAAATGTCAATATTTATTGACCATATTCATAAATGGAATATGCATGGAATACCGACAGGCGAATTCGAAGTCTTCATCATTCATTGTTTGAAGAATAAGAAAAAAAAAACAAAAAATATTTTTATTCAAAGCAACATATACCTGCAAAATTCTATCACCTATTTAGGTTCGTATTTCCCAATTAAAAATTTTTTGCAGCAAGAGACCTGACAGGAAATCGAACTAAAAATAAAATAAAACCAGTGAGTGGAGTAGTATAGTCGAACGGCCATATGACCATATTATACCTACACAACTACCACTGAAGTCTGCGGATCTATATTCCGGCAAAATTTCACGATATTAGCATTGTCTTGACAGTTCCACTTGCTAATCCTGTTATATTTTTCAAATCTTGTTTTTGCGAGGTGAATATTTACGCCATAAAATAAAAATTTTCTCACTTTAGGTTTTGGTGTGATTTGACCCTCGGAATGTCGGCCCAATCATCATCTAAACAGCCGTTCTAGGTGTTGGGTCAGATCCCCTTCACCATGTTCTGCATTTAATAATGGCCTGTACAGCGGCTAGAAAATCTGGCAATAATAAAGTTCTCGGTTCATTGCACACCCTAAATATCATCTTAACATCACCGTAAATTATAAGCATCGCGCTTGACCATAATCGGAACTTCATGTAAAATTTCAAAGCGATCACCGCTACATTTGCGCCCTCTAGTGGGGTAATGGTAATACTAAACAATATCATAACACATAGATACCTTTAAATATTTATCTAAAACTCCCACATCCGAGTACAAAGAACAACATAATTGGTATCAATTTAAAGGTGAACCACCCCTCTTGCATATCAACTTATCGTTTCTATGTCCTTCATGTGTAAAATATGCCCCCAGAATACCCATTTTGTGATTTTTTACGCAAAATTCAGGATCCACTTGAATTGCTTAATATTGACCAATGTCAATATCAACAGTCATGCTTATTTTTTTGCCAGATTCCCTTCCTGGTGCAAAGTTTCGTTTTTTTCGGGTCATAATTGCAGTCTCTGGTGCGACCTGAAAAACAAATAAAAATAAAGTTTTTGGTCCATTTCATACCCATAAATATTAGGTAGGGGAAAAAGAAATCCATTATTTTTTTTTCGGCAGATGGCTGTACGGATAGATTTATCGTAAAGTATCGATAAAACAATTTCAATAAGTGGAAGTGAACAAAGAAAAAAATCGGTACATTCTACAGTTTTTCTTTGACAAAAGCGAAAATGCAAGCCAATCGGCTAAAAATGTGAATGGTGTTTATGGTTCCGATACTGTAGCCGACAATTATGTGCAATTTTGGTTTTGTAGATCCCGTTCAGGAATTTTTGATGTTAAAGATGCACCTCGCACAGAACGATTAAAGTGATTCAAAGGAACTATCTAGGAGTCGGAACTAAATGGAGCAAAGGAACTAGTTCCTTTTTGAAAAATGAACGCTCTGTGAAATAACAATGACAAAATTGAAATCTAGTTCACGGAGCGAAACGTTTTTTCTTCTTCCTTTTTTTAAAAAGGAACTAGTTCCTCAAAGTTCATTAAAGAATAACCTCTATATCTTTGTTTGTGGCTATTGCAGGTTATTGTTTTCAGATCTCGAGACGAATGATAGAGGAATATTTTTGTAAAATATCACTCATACGATTCGGAAAAGAGATCCTTAAGGACGAGACATTGATATTCGTAGGTTGTCAAAATCCTATTTTTATTTTAACCGATTCTTGGTCAGGCAACCTTATATCTATGTACATTAAAACATTTCAAATAAATTGTAGATTTTGAAGAACTGAAATTATTTATTTCACATAGTTCTTATGGTTCTTGAATAAAGGCAATGAGCTCTCGTGGATGGCGCCCAACGTAAAATCATACATAATGCCTTAATTCTTATTCACAAATGGGTAGCTATTCCAAAATATGAATCCACATTGATTTGGGATTATTTTTAGTATTGGTCCTAGACCCATCTTAAAATATATCCATCGTCAAATCTCGACTAGCGGAACCGATTTAGACATTTGTGTCCGTCCGGCCGTCCGTCCGTCTGCCTATAATAATTTGTAAAAAAAGATACAGGCCATTGTTATGGCATGTAGGATGTGTTGGGGCCAAAGAAGGCCCCTATTGTTTTATGGCAATGATCCGTTAATATTTAAGGGGATGAAATGGACATGGACCCAGACTTTTGTGTGAAAAATTTGTATTTTAAAACTTGTATTTATTTACTCCTGAAGGACATAGAACCGAGAATTTGATAATATATCCAAGAGGAGTGGTTGGCCTTTAAATTGATACCAATTATATTGTGATATGTACTCGAATTAGAGATAAGTAAATCGATTTCGACTAGTCGATTTTTTATACTAAAAAGTCTAAAAGTCGAAATCGACTTTTGATCGCAAAAAGGAAATCGCAAAGTCGATTTTTTCTAGATGGACTTTTGATCTTGGTCGTTTTGAAATTTTATATGAAGTTCCATTATGGCCAAGAACAACGCCTATAATTATACCCTTCACCACACTGTGGTACAGGGTATTATGTCTTTGTGCATATGTTTGTAACATGCAAAAGGAAACGAGATTGACACATGGTTCCTTTTGAGAATATGCATAGAATCACTTTCTAAGTCGATTTATGCATGTCCGTCCGTCTGTCTGTCTGTCCATGTATTTTTGTGAGCAAAGTACAGGTCGCATTTATGATCCGATTTGGATGAAATTTGGCACAGCTCATTTGTTTGGCCCAAGGACGAACCCTATTGAAATTGGGAAAAATCGGTTCAGATTTAGATATAGCTCCCATATATATATTTAACCGATTTAATGTAAACGGTCCCTATATATCTTCCGATTTGCACGAAATTTGGTACAGCCTAATCATTTAGGTCAAGAATGATGTCTGCCAAGTTTCGTGAAAATCGGTCCAGATTTAGATATAGCTCCCATATATAGTTTCGTCCGATTTCATGTAAATGGAGCCCCAAAATCCCTATATATCTTTCGATTTGCCCGAAATTTGGCACAACGTATTGAATTAAGCCTAGAGTGATGTCTGCCAAGTTTCGAGAAAATCGGTCCAGATCTAGATATAGCTCCCATATATAGTTTCGTCCGATTTCATGTAAATGGTGCCCCAAAATCCCTATATATGATTCGATTTGCACGAACTTTGGCATAACGTATTGAATTAAGCCTAGAGTGATGTCTGCCAAGTTTCGTG